GACAGGCTGGCAGTAGGCACAAGGGCGTGAAAGTCAATATCCAGGACAGCAGGTGAGGAAGGAGATCCACCTTTAACGTGACAGCTCTCCCTCGCCATGGAGTTGATGGAAAAACACCACAGCTCTTTCATTTAGATTAGACTCTAATGAATGAATAGTTACAACCGTCTGCATTCTGCGGTGTGCTACGTGGGCAAAATTGTTCTCAATGCCACACAGACAGTGCCGTCCACACAGACACAATAACGCATACCTGGCAACAACATCAAATCGAGACTGAATAGAAAGGGGGGAAAAAGACTGCTTGCTATGCTTGAAACCCACCCAGCAAACTCTACAACATACGAGCGGTTGGAGCAGTGAAATCTGAGTCACGCCGAGCGTGCTTCATGCACACCTTTAAAAGGTGTGGCCAACGAACCTAGTTACGGCCGTTAAGCCCACAAACAATGCAGGGACTGTTCCACCGGTACGGCAAGGACAGAGAGCAAACAGAGGGCTACAGCTAAACAGATGTAAAATGATAAGCGGGATGAAGGAGCAACAGGTTTAGATTACAGGACCTGGTCAATTAATCTTTTTCAAACATACAGATTTTGTCGGAGCAACATGGGGCATAACGTGTTCTCTGTGGAAAATACCAACCCCGCTCGGAAACCAACTGATGTCTTTGCCAAAAGGTGTGTCGGTTTCTACGCGGAAGCCCATCCATCCATTATCAATACCGCTTATTCCCTGATGGGGTCGCGGGGAGAACTGGACCCTATCCCAGTGGTCAACGGGCGAGAGGCGGGGTACACCCTGGACAGTCTGCCAGTCCATCGCAGGGCCACACAGAGACACACAAGGACAAACAACCACCCTCACTCACACTCACTCCTAAGGGCAATTTGGAATGTCCAATCATCCTAACATGCAGGTTTTTGGACTGTGGGAGGAAGCCGGAAAAACCCGGAGAGAACCCACGCAGACACAGGGAGAACATGCAAACTTGAACCCAGAACCTTCTTGCTGGGAGGCGACGGTGCTAACCGCCACACCACCGTGCCTCTACGCGGAAGCGATGGCAGGCATTTGAAACGATAGCGAAAGTAGATTAATAGAATTAATGTAAGGGAAATTGCATTAGATACTTAGAGTTATCACTAAATAACACTTCAAATATTAATACAAACACAAAGACTGATCTTTTTGCCCTCGCTCCCGTTGTTGCAAATGAAAGTCCTTCAAGAGGACATCCAGCCGTTCCATAAAAAACAGATATACCAGTGCAGTGACTATCCTGAACAGTTTAAACTTATTATCAAATTATTCAATCTCTAGTATCATTTGCCTATCACAGATAAAGGATGCGCAACTATGTGGATGTTTAGTGTAAATTTCTCTTATTTATGACAGGTCATAAGAAGTGGCTTTGATGCTCTGGAGTACCACAGCTCCAGGTTTTGTTTAGATAAACTCTCCATTATCACTTTGCTCACATACCTGACGTTTGTAACTTAACACTACAGTTCAACTGTTAGGGTTAGGGTTTTTTAATCAGTGAAACTTCCTATTTCCATTCTCAGTTTCTCCAATTTGTTGGCTCCTCTTTGACCTATCTTTCAAATGGCCACACTTGGCTTCGTTACTTTGGAGAGTGTTGCCTGGCCCAACTGCCTGTGTGGAACCTTCTAAAGCAACTGGTTCAACATGTGTCTCCCTACACAGTCTTGTCTGTGTTTGGGGCCCTCAAAGCACCCTATAACACTTGATATTTTCAAAACACACTTCTCTGAATACTAAAAGCATATGAGAAAGGGTTACTCCCAATGGGTTCAAATGACACATGACTCCTAAAGGCATTCCAAAAACAAAGGGACAGAGACATTTAAAAAAAAAAATTATTCTGGGATAGAAAATCCAAACCAATGAAGAAGTCCAGCTGTAGTTTTGTACCGTTCTGTCAGTGGATATGTCCTGCTATGTCCAACAGGACAGGGTCATAGTCGACATTCTCTGTTTCAAAAATTCTCTATAAACTCTTTTTATGGAATGTCTTTGTAATGGGGTTCGGATTGCTGTGGTATCCCTGAAAGGTAAAAGAGCTCTGCTGAATACTCTAATAATACAACCACACGCCATCACCTTTTGGACTGAACCTCAACTATGGATAGATCTGACCACAGTGCATGTCGTGATGTCCAGAAAAAGGCTATCGTTCACTCTTCTTGGTGTTTGCAAAGGTAGCTCATTGTCGTGATGTTTTACAAAGTCACTTGTTGTTTTGTATTTTTAAGAACAATTCAGACAAGCTGTTGGAAACACCCTTACATGTATAAAACCTTCAATTTGTCAGTTTATGATTGCAGTTAAGTAAATAATCGTTAAACCACGTTGAATAGTCCCCGTTTGGGTGGGTCGGCAGTGTGTGACAGAAAATAAATAACACCTGAATGGAATGTTTGCTGTTTGTATAGAAACAAATGAACTTGCAGGGAAACACTCCTACATTATTCCACAGCCTCTAGTCCAATAAGAAAGCTTCATTCAAGCCGAGAATATTTCTGTACGTTGAATGTATTTCTTTCCTATGTACCGAAGTCCATATGATTCTCCCGACGTGCCTTAAATTCTCTCATGACATATTCTTAGTAGGTTGCATTCACGGACTCAATTAAAGTTATTCAAAGTCATTCATGACTGACAGGTAGCTCTATTTTTTCTGTTATGACCCATTACTGGCACGGTCATACTTAAACCGACACCGACTAAAAAAACAACATTACAGTGATGAGATACACACCTTTTAAAGAGGTAAACAGGTATATCGTTCGTCATAACTGATCCGTATCTTATCAACTTCGATTGAAACGGCTTTAAAAAAAGAAAGCACCTCTTGGAAACATAAAGCGGAAGCAATAGAGGTGGGAAATTAATGGAGTTGCGCTTAAGGACAGGTGAGTGAACGACTTTTACGTTTCCGATGTGGTAGAGCTGAACATAGTCAATTGATGGGCAGTATATGGGGGTTAGGATGATAAATCAACGGAGATGGGGTGTGACAAAGTTTCATACATAAAAAAAGTATTTTGTAAACCAAAAAGGGATAGCCTATAGACAGTTTTTGCTGAGACTTGGTCCAGGAAGTGCCCTGTGATGTTGGATACACGTCTTACAAAGTAAGATGTCACCTGCTCTCCGTCCCGTGTGTCGGCCAAAAACCAGTTGTTCCTGGACTGTGGTCCTACATCTTGACCAAACCAGACTTAAAAAGGCTGCTATCCATGCTTTCCACTCGGACATCGTCAAAGGGGACGGTGGATGCTTCAGGCTATCCCTCGGTCATTTTCCTCAGACCAATCGGTTCATCGGTTTATTTCTCGCTGTCCATTATGATGCGCACGGTGCCACCGGGACCAACCGACCCAAAGATGTGTAATTTTCTAGCCTGATGAAAAAAAAAAAAAAAAAAAAAAACATCTGCCATAGAATGACTTTGATGCCACATGGGACGCGCGCACTTTGTAATCACGTTGGTATTTTTCAGGACGTTTCCCTAGCGAAATCAAGCATCATTGATTTATTGTTGCAAGGTTATTGCTCACTGTTACAGGTAATTACTCTTAAATAATGCAGTACCTGCTTAAAGAAGTTTCCCACTGACAAAAGTATGACTACAGAAACGTTTCGTCATAAAATCGCTCGTTTTCATTTAACAAAATTAATTTAAAATATACTATGGACCACGTAGACAGTATATTCAAATGGGCCTTACAGGTCATTACAGACATTTTTTGTCATAACTTTGTGCCCTTAGGGGAAAAAAAACCTGCTGTTCAGGTATCTAAACGCAGTGAAGTTAATTTTAAGTTGCACCCGTATTACAGAATTTACAGTCATACAGGGAGTTTAGACGGCTACAGCGTACACCGACTTCCGGTTGTCAAAATAAAAAATGTGTGCTATTCAAAGCAGAGATATTGTATTAATATTTGCAAGCATTGATGGGCTAATATCGGAACACTTTACTCAATAATTCATAAAAACATTTATTCAATTTTATGTATCTTTCTTTTTGCATGTTTAATTAACCTTTACCAGATTTAGGATTTAAAGACCCAGGTTATTGCGCAATGTATGCTGCCTTCAAAACCACCTGGACCAGGAACTGCCATTATACAATTGAAAAACAGTGTAATAATATTTAGCTGTCAAACAATTATACATAAATACATAAAAAAGGCTGCATGAGATACACCTCTGGTTTTTACACTTTTGATCTCTACATTTTTTAAATTAAGTCTATATGTAAATATTAGCCTTTAGCTCAACAGCTTCTCAATAAATTTGAATACAACATCTCTGCTTTAAATAGCACATTCTTATTTTGAAAACAGAAAATTCGGTACACGCGGAAGCTGTGCTTTGTGTCCGTGTGTTGACCGTAAAGTCTGCAATACTGGTGCGCTTGAAATGTTGGAGCGGTGTGCCCGGAGCGAATGAGTGGCGAATGTCGAACGTCTGTAGAATAACTTAAAACCGACCTTTTTTATTTATTTATCAAAAAGTGTTATTTTTTCTGTCAAGTTAAATCTGTCTTTTAGGTCTCTTTAAGTGTGTTGCTTACTACTTCAAATTTCCTGCATTTGTAGAAGAGGTTTACTAAAAAAAAAATTTTTAAACAATGTCTGAGTCATAACATGACTTTTTTTTTTTATCTTTGGTGCAGGAAGTTCAAGGAGCGGAAGTTATCTGTGTGATTTACTGGTTCTCCAAGTAATAATCAAGACATCTCTATGAGGGCAAATCAGCACTGTGGAACACATCACCTCCTATTCATTTTAATTGTATTTATTAGGAGTGAGGAATTCCACAGGTGAAGCAAGTCGGGGAAGTCGATTAACTTTGGCCGACAAATATTTGACCAACAGAACACGCAAACCTCGTAAGGTTAAGTAACATTGATTCATTCCATCTAACTTGTCACTTTCTATTTCTGAATTTTTATGCAGGGTGAAATGGAAAGAGGCAGTTTCTTTAGAAGGAATCTTCTTGTGCTCATCTCCATCACATTAATCTTCATTATCATCAACGTCATAAACATGAGGAGACCCACCATAAAGATCCCAAAGCCACAAAAACCACCAGCTCCATGTCCATCACTGGTCTCTGAGCAGACCATCACTCCACTTAAAAACACATCACACTTCCTGGTGTCGGCCTACATGGACCAGAGAGGGAAGGACTTTGATATTCGCATTATTGGCATGTTTAAGAGAGACTCCATCCAGCCTCTTCACTGCCTCTTTTGCTGTTCAGGCCATTTTAGTCCAACAACTCCTGCAACAGTTTTACCTCATTCAGATCACTTTGGATTCGCCTTCTGTGCCACCGATGTGCTGTGCAAGATTCCTCAGAACTGCGATGCAACACATGTCACTCTTCTGACTGAGCCCACCCCAGAAAAAGCCTACAACCAGGCCTGGCTTCCGATAAGAAACAAAAAAGAGAAGTACATTTTCAACTTCACTGTCTGCATCTCTAACCTTTTTGGGGACTACAACAACGTGCTTCAGTTTACACAGGCTCTGGAGATGTACAGGTCAGCAAAGCCTCAAACCAAAGTATTCACATCATGGAACTAATCCACTTGCATTACTTTACACCTTAGATAATTATTATCACATGTATTAATGATCACTGACTTGTACCTTTACTTTTATGCTGTTCCTTGGACTCTTGTAATTTAAGAATTATTTACGTTAAGCTAGATTGTAGGGGCCTTAGTCTCTGACCACACCGAGACTCAAACTTCCTCACTTGTAGGTCCCTGCGGATAAAACAATGGGCTTAAAGACTGAGTGTAATTTAGTGGATAGCTGAAGGTATTCTTGTTTGTTTGCCACCTAATGACAGCCTCAGTAAGTCAAGCATGCTTTCATTTATTTTTGCGGTTAATGAAAACTGATCTTTTTGCCCCAGGCTGCTGGGGGTGGACCGAGTGGTGATCTATAACACCAGCTGCGGCCCGGATCTCGATCGCCTTCTGCAGAGTTACAGTGACGAGGGTTTTGTGGAAATGGTTCCATGGCCCATCACAGAGCATCTAAATCCATCTCCTGGGTGGCTCTTTTCAGAGCATGGAGGGGATATCCACTACTACGGGCAGCTCACGACCCTTAACGAGTGCATTTACAGATCTATGGAGCGCTCACGCTTTGTGCTGTTAAATGACATAGACGAGATCGCCATGCCATACCAACATGAAAACCTGATGTCTCTGATGAACATGCTGCTGGAACAACGTCCAAATGTAGGTTCTTCTCATACATTTATAAAAAGCCTTACATCAATCCACCACTCAATTATATCCACCGGCTTAATAACATATCTTCCATTTTCCCATGTAGTCAGAGTACAGACAAAAACCGTAAAGTGTCCTGGGATGGATGCAGTATATCATTTGGATACTATGGAGTAGTTGTTTGTGGTTAGGGATCTGATTGGGATCTTTGGAGTTTTCAGGCCAAATTAACACAGTCAGATTATTTGTTGTGTTCTTTTAGTCCTTGTATCATGTACTTATGCTTTTTATCGAGTAACATCTTTGTGAAAGACAGTATGATATAGAAAAGTATCCGTTACAAAATGAGCTGCCAGTGGTTTTCATATTATGGCTGATCGGTGTGTGCGTATAAATTCTGTGTACATTCTCAAATCTTAACACTCTATTCATATTCTACAGACTGGAGTGTTCCTCATAGAGAACCACATCTTTCCCAAGAATTACTTTGAGCCAAGTGGGAAGTTTCACCTGCCTCAGTGGAGTGGGGTACCAGGTGTTAACATGCTAGAGCACATCTATAAGGAAGAACCTGACAGACAAATATACCATCCACATAAGATGATTATTCAGCCAAGGTATACAGAGTTACTCACTTCTGACACATTCACTGTTTTTTTTCACCCAAATAACTGCTGTTTTATTTTCTTTACATAATATTAAGTTTTTAACAAGTTGCTTGAAATTCTTTCAACTCAGTACCAGAGAAAATATGAGCTACTACCTTTTTAGGATATATGAAAAGTGATTTAAAAAATTGAGCAAATGAAGAGCCACAAAATAAAGAATTACTAAAACCATAACTGCCTCAGCACTTGTGCCTCACGCTGAGCAGCAGCACAAATAACAAATAAATGTTGAGACCTGAGAAGAATTGTGAGGAGCACACGGCTAAACTTTACCTCTGCATCACAGGCTGGTGGAGCAGACTTCGGTGCATGAAGTTATCAAGAATTTCGGACAACGATACAAAGTTCCACCCGAAGTATGTCGGCTGATTCACGTTCGAGTCCCCCTGCGTGGATTAAAACAAGATCAACTTACTGTGGACAATCGACTGTGGGACTTTCAGGAAAAACTTATCCTCAATGTGGACAAGGCTCTGAAGAAAGTGGGTCTGCTTTGATAAGAATCAGTGTTGTGTCAATTGTTTTGTTGATATAAATATAAGGGATAGAGCATATCGAAAGACATATCAGCCAAAAAAAAAACACAATCGTTTTTTTCTGTGTGCCAAAACATTTTCTATTTTTTCTTTAATGGATGTTATTTTTCTGCATACTGATGCAATGCATTGCATTTACACTTAAAGCAATGCCCGACAGTTCTATGTCGTACATAGAGTAATTTGGATGCACTAACATCCCTTAATCCTGATGTTTTGCTGGGTGTGTGTGTGTGTTTTCCTCTGTAGCTAAATGGCCAATACGGTGTGAAATCTCATGTCTTATTGAAATTCATGAAGGTTAATAACTTTGTAAACTTTTTTTCCACATTCCATTCAATTTATTACTGTTTTACTGATCAATAATGATGCTGTTGCTCCGCTCCACCACCGGGAATGCTAGAGTTTCACTTTGACTCCAGTGCTGCTGGACAAATTAAGACCAGAAACTATGGAATTCTTGTCATGTAACATTTCCAACAAAAGTTAAATCATTGTCAAAACAGTTTTAGACTACAACCCTAAATTAAATTTCATTTCACGTACCGGTGGACTTTTTAACCAGAACTTTCTGGAAAAGGAAAACAATTGTACATTATAATGAAAAACTCATCTCATTTTCAAAAATTGTATAATTAAAAATAATGCTTGGTAGTTTAACTTTCCAAAAGACAGGCGCTCAATACCATCTGAAAGGAAGAGATCCCATAACATCAATGTCATCCAAAATAAAACATAAGTCTGTTTTTAATCATTTTATGCATCATCTTATATTTAAGTCCATTTTAACACATGTGAAATTGACTCAATTAAACTCGTGGAAAACATTCACTGCAGAGTATGAATCCATCCATGTTTCTCTACAAAAATGGATTTTCTTTTTCACTCATACGATGAAAGAAGTTCAACTTCCCCAGCAAGTTGCAGCTGAAATGCAAATGAGTGACCTGGTATGAGATGTGGTGTTTTGCATAAGCCTGCGCTCAGTCTGCCTCTCTTTAAATTCCTGTATACATTTCAACTGGTGACAGCAAATACATTCAGGTTTGATCTGCTTCATACAGGTTCAACTCAACTTTCTCCAAATGAGTCGGGAATCTATTCCTCACGTTTAGTTTGTGAAAGTCAGCGGGACAACGATCTGCTTTCTTTAACAGTTCTTAGTTCTCGGCCAGAACTAGTTCCAGGGTCTAAACTCATCTTACCAAAGGTGCTCACGGGGTTGTAATTCTCACCAGGCCTGTTTTCTGACTCAGCAAGGCTTCTGCCTGCCAGCCGTCGCCAGGGGCAACACACTGCAGTCAAAACCCCCAGCTGGTTTGCCTCCCAAGTTTCTTCCTGGTATTCTTTTGTCATTTCTGAAATATGAATGTAATATTCTCTGGTCTTTTTTTTTTTTAAAGCTGTTTTAATGAATATCTCTGGGTGTAAATTCAGTTTCGCAAACAATGGATATTTCTTGAAAAATTCTATTCAATTTCATTCATATAGCGCCAAATCACAACAACAGTTGTCTCACAGCGCTTTCCAAACAGAGCAGGTCAGACCCTACTCTGTAGTTAATTACAGAAGCCCAACAATTCCCACCAAGAGCAAGCACTAGGCGACACAGGCAAGGAAAAACTTACTTTTAACAGGCATAAACCTCGAGCAAGAACCATGGCTCAGGGTGGGCGGCCATCTGCCTCGACCGGTTAGGGGTGAGAGACGGAGAGGGCAAAAGAAAGAGGGAGAGGGAGAGAAGGATGAAAAATGGCAATGATATTGATAGTGATGATAATGATAGCAGTAATAATAGCAATAAGACTATGAACAGTGGCTGTACTTGTGGCAGAGTAGGAACAGGAGGGCAGCAGGAGACTCTCAATCACAGACCCAGCTTCCACAGGTCCATGAACACCTGCAGGAAGTGATGGGAGGAGAGAGGAGAGGGACGAGAAAGCACACGACAACGGGAAAGGGAAAAAGTCCAGTTAGTAACGCGCATTAATGGAATGAGGTTGAAAGGAGAGGGGAGCTCGTTTTAAAAACGTTAAAAAAAACTATTTTTCTTTCTTAAATAGAAAATCTTTTTCTGGAGGGCTTGTGTGAGACTATACCCCTGCACAAATGTGGATCCTCGTGGAAATTGTTCAATGAAATAACACAAAAATACACAGTTCTACAACCCCTTTTAACTGCTGTGGGCTTTGAACAAAGGAAATGGCAAAGCAGCTTCTTCCTTTATTTTCTGTCATCAGCTAGGAGAACTTGTTAACCTAGATTCGTGTCTGAATAAACTCATCTTGGGCATTTCCTAGGTTAAGTACGCCTACAGGGAGGGGGGGAAGGGAGGTGTGGTTTTACCTATGCGACACATTACTCACTCATCTAAGGACAACCGAGCACTTATCCGGACGTTACCTGTAAGTTGATTCTGTAATGAAATTATATTTTCGAGTGTGATGCATTTTCTTATTTTATTCTTCATATTCAGCGTTCAGAGTTTTTTTGTTTTTGTTTTTTTAGCTGAAGCGTTTGCAGCCATCAGATTCAGACATATTGTTAGGAAGGTTTCAGTCAGCATGCAGAGTCTGTGCCCCTTTCTAAAGACAGTTTGGCTTTTATATACCATTTATCCTTCTTGAGTTTTGAATGAGGCAGAAAGTTGTTCGGTTTCAAATGATCGGTCGTGTCAGATTTATTTCTCAAATCGTTTGTATAATTTACTGGTTAGTTTAATTTGCTTTGGGTGCGTCCGTGTCACAATTCAAATTTCCGTCTGAATTATTCTGTCAAATAAAATATATTAGTTTCTGTGATGACATTATCGAGCTGGGTGGAAAAAAACAAGTCAAACAGGCTTGTTGAGATACCGGATATTTGTTTACACTTCCCCCCTCGACATATATATGGTTCCGCCTACCCCCCACCACCCCCACGCCCACCCCACCCCACCCCGCTCCCCAGAATATCACAGCGTTTTCTTCAGTTTGACAACAATTTTTGATTGAAGAAATTATTGTTAATTGATATATATATTTGATAACATTAACTCCTGGTCAGACTTTGGTTTTATCATTGCAGACTAAGTTATGCTAACAGACTATACTGTGTTTAGTAATCTTATTTTGACATGCCACAGTTATGATAAAAAATACATGAACACAATGTAGAAGCATGATGTGAGCCTCTGATAGAGACATATTTTAACAAAACGTTCCCCCATAAAAAGTATTGATGGTAGGTTGTTGCTCCGTAGACAGTCTGTCAGAATTGGTGCCCCCGTCTAAGATCAAATTTCCCCGTAGTTACAGGAGAAGAAAAACGGTACGGGTCAAATCATATGAGTGGTGTTTCACTGCACAGTCAGAAAAGCCACCATAATGACTGTTTCTGGTTCATTTTCATGGGGAGGGACCATATACTACTCAACATCAGCAAATATGTTAAAGCATGATTTGACTTAGCTCTTCAAACACACTGGCTTCTTACACTATTTAAACTTCTTAAGTTTTGTATACTTGCTCGTGTTTAAATCATCTACCATTGTCACATATCTATTCATTTATTTGTTTATACAATTACTCATTTAGAGATTTTCTTGTGTACTTGTTTTTTTTTGCTTCTGTGTAAAAAAATGTCTATTTTCTGTTTGAATTAGAAAACAGAAGTCGGTTTGACTGGTGGATAGAGTTGGACGAGCCAAACGGGTCTGTAGATATACCACGTCTATTATCAAAAAATGCTTCCTTGAGTTGGTGAACGTGTTCTCTGGGAAGCTGGCCCTTTGTTCCTAAACTGTCAGAACTCTGACTCCCCATAGGTTGGACAACTTTCTTACAATTCTTTGATGGAAAAGTTCAAATGCTTCAAAAGAAAAACCATCTTCCCCCTCACCATCTTCTTCATGTGCACCTTCATAATCTTTTTCTACATAACACAAGCTAACACAAACAAGCTAACCCCAAAACCCCGGAAGGCCCCAGCTCGATGTCCATCACTGGTCTCTGAGCAGACCATCACTCCACTTAAAAACACATCACACTTCCTG